TGCTGAACCAATTTACCTGCATTACACATTCCTCAAAACAATAAAACCTTCTACTCTCCTCTCACTGACAGGGCAGGGATAGTAATCTTCCTCCTTCCAGTATTCATTCATTTTCACATAATCATTAACACACCAATATATGATTTATTGATCTAAATTCTCACATATACAACAGAAGAACATATTAGTAAGTCTTTAACTGCTTCAGTAACCTTGTTTAGCATAACCTGAAATATCACTTATTGTGTTAATCAAGACAATAAAAAGTAGTTAGTACCAGATTCATTAAATTGTTTCAAATAGCCACTTGTTATCCTAATATTTACTTTTAGATTTTGCCGCAAAATATGTTAACAAAGACAGTCTAATGTGACTGATGTCTAGCTGTGAAGTGAATGTTTACCTCATTTCCTCAGGTGCATTCCTCATCCCCTACCTGATAGCGCTGGTGTTCGAGGGCCTCCCCCTGCTCTACCTGGAGCTGGCTATAGGACAGCGGCTCCGCATGGGGAGCACTGGGGTCTGGCGCTCCATATCACCACTGCTGGGTGGAGTTGGTGGGTAACCTAAGATTATTAATAGTAAAGTTTATATGTTTTTTTTAGATTTGCCCCAGAAATCTGACTGTTAAATCATAAAACAAACATTTAATAACCACTGGTGATTTACACACAGCTACAATAATGGGTTTGCAGAATGATAAATTAAGTAAAACTGAGCTCAAGTTCAAAGTACAAAATCACATCTTAAACTGGACTATGCAGAAGAAACTGTTGCTTCCACAAGTAGCTGATGTAAAATATTCACCATATTTAAGAGTAGCACCTCAGAGCACCATCACTTTGCCAGTTGTGTGTGAAACATTGACTGGAATGAAAACATTTCTGAGAAAAACCTAATACAATTCTTCATTACTTCATGAGCTAAAACATTTTTGTGGATGTAATATACAGTATATATTTACTATCTTTTCCTGACAATATTATTTTCTATATGTAGGCATTAGTTCCATGTTGGCATCTTTCCTGGTGGGTATTTTCTACAACACCATCCTGGCTTGACAATCACACAGGTGACAAATGACCTACCAGTCATTTCAGATGTTTGTGATACATTTATTGTTACACAGAAAGGAAAAGAAAACCACCATTTGATTGTAATTCTACACTGGCAGAAAAACTCGCTGACAGCAGTTTGATAGTTTATGTAAAATATTAACGGTATCAAATCAGGTGTGAGAAATTTGTATATTTACCACAAACTTTCACCTAGAGGACTGGAAACTTTCAGGCTCTGCCTGGCATTTCAGGTCAGATTTAAGAGAAAATCTACTAGATTGTTTTATGGCATAGATGAATATTAAACCACAACATCAAATAAAAAGCACATGTTTTAGTTTCAAGGTGAGTTTTAGAGTTTTGTTATGTGACAGACATGGAGCACAAATCATGGTCTCATTTGTTGTCATTAATCATGCTAAGGTATTAATATTCATGGTGATAAATTTGTTAACATGTGTAGTTTACACAACTTGATGAAATTTGAAAGAAATTTTAATACTGAACTCTGATCTCATGATGTCAGTGTTTTCCTTCTATATGAACCCATATAGCCTACAATGAAGAGTGTGTGAAAAGCACTCCAGTGAATTATTTCTGGTACCGTGAGACCCTGAACATCACACCTGACATTGAGATCAGCAGCTCCCCACAGTGGTGGATGGTCATCTGTTTGGCCAGCGCCTGGTGTATCGTCTATGTTTGCTTCATCAAAGGTATCAAGTCCATGGGAAAGGTCAGTTTACCTGGTGAAAAATATGTAACCTCTTATGCACCATACCTATTTTATATCGCTGCTGGCAATTAGAGTAAACTGTGAAAAATGTTTCCATGTCTCAGGCTGTGTATGTGACAGCCACCTTTCCTTACCTGGTACTGACAATCTACTTGATCTACGCCCTCACTCTGCCTGGAGCTACTGATGGACTAGTGTACCTCTTCACTCCAGATGTGAGTTTAGTCATTTGTTGCTACTACAGGTGATGTCAAATTATTTATTGCAGCACAGACACAATGACATGGTGTGTTGCTTTCATACCCTCTGCAGTGGGAGACACTGAAGAGCCCTCAGGTGTGGCTGGATGCTGCCACCCAGATCTTCTTTTCGCTTTCTGTGGCCTTTGGAGGTCTCATAGCTTTCTCCAGCTATAATGCAGAGAAGTAAGAACTAAAATTCCTCAGCTACCTTGGTAAAACTAGGATGATCTGTGTGATATTTAAAAAAAAGGTTTGCAACACTGTGTCTATTAGAAACAACTGTGAGAGGGATGCTGTTTTAGTAGGAGTAATAAACAGTGCCACATCTCTGTATGCCTCCATTCCCATTTTCTCCATCCTGGGATTTAAAGCTACAAGTGACTACAACTCCTGTCTACAAGAGTATGTACACACACCTATTCCACATAAATTCAAAGCTTCTTATTTGTGCTATCATACCACTGAGACAATTTTTTTGGTATCCCATCCACAGAAACATCTTGGTTCTGACCAACCACTTTGATTTCTCAGACCAGAACATAACAGTGGAGGACTATGAGCCATGGTTTAAATATCTAAATCAGACATATCCTGATCAGGTGGCCAGTTTGGCCCTGAGGCCATGTGACCTGCAAACATTCCTTGGCCAGGTATGGTAATTTTTAAAAGATCACCTTTTATGGAAACTACAGTCTTTTTGTCTGAATCTCTCTCTTCCTTTAAATCCTGACTGTTTTCCATGATTCGCTCCTCTTTCTTTCCCAGACTACAGCACATCATGTGGCGGTCAAACATGCAGTCAGTTAATGCTTCCTCAGCACTTTGTCTCTCTTTTATCGCCCTTCCCCAGAGTGCTTCAGGAACCGGCCTGGCCTTTATTGTGTTCACTGAAGCAGTGATAGATATGCCAGGCTCACAGATATGGGCAATACTGTTTTTCATTATGCTCTTCAGCTTGGGCCTCTCCTCCATGTTTGGCAACATTGAGGGTGTCCTCACCCCTATCAACGACCTCAAACTGGTGCCCAAGTGGATCCCTCATGAACTCCTAACAGGTACCACCAAGTCAACATAAGTTCAACAACATTTTTACCCTTTGAACTCCCTTTCTCAAAACCTTTTTTTTCCTCACTTCCTCAGCGATCATCTGCTTGGTATCCTTCTTGACAGCACTCATCTTCACACTGGGTTCAGGGAACTACTGGGTGGAGGTCTTTAACAGCTACGTGGGCTCTGTGCCTCTGCTCATTATTGCATTCTTTGAAATTATTGGAGTGATTTACATCCGTGGAATGAAAACGTAACTTTTCTCCTCTTCATCTTGTCAAATTCATATAGTTTTAATCCAGGTTTGTTCAACATTTTCTCATGCCCATTGTGTTGTCTGATAGATTCAGTGAAGACATCTTTTTCATGACGCAGAAGAAGCCCAACATCTTTTGGAAGGCATGCTGGATGGTGATCAGTCCGTTAATGCTCCTAGTGGTGCTGATTGCCTATGTGGTAGTTCAAGCACAGCAACACCCTGCCTATCCCGCATGGAACCCAGCTTATGTAAGCAAGTAAAGGGCACTGACAAGGGAAACATGCAATAGTAGTGGATCCAGTCTGGATTCCATTATAGTTGAATGCATATAGTGTAGATATTGCTTTTGTGTAAAAATCGTTTTTTCGGTTGTATTTCTTGGTTGTCACTTCAAGTAAAGCTAAGCTAACTGCTAGCTGGCTCCAGCTTCATACTTTGCAGGGTGATATGCTATTGATCATTTCATGCCACTTTCAGCAAGAAAGCAAATAAGTAAATTTCATAAACTATCAAACAATTTTTTGCTACTTAATTCTAAAGTGAATTATTATTGCTATAACATTCGATGATAAAATATATTTTATACTTCTGTCTGTTTCTTTAGGAACTATTCCCTAAAACTGAATTGAAGCCGTACCCAGACTGGGTCTTTGCCATAATCATCCTCCTCTGTGTTGTCCCTGTGATTTCTATCCCTATCGTGGCTCTCTACCATCTGATCTGCTGTATAAGAAAGAAGTCCCCTGCTCACTATGAACAAAACCACTGCTACAACAATGACTCATTTGAGGGTGAAATACAAGAATACAATAAACACAAAGCTTAGGAAATGTTGCAAGTAGCAGTGTAATCATATTCTCAGTGGAACTTTGATCTTAGTTGTATTTCACTGAATAGCCAGAGATGATCAGTCATGTTGGGCTGTAATATAGACACTTCTATATGGACACCTTTATTTAACCAGGAAATAATGTGCCCCTTTAAGACCCAATGACTCTTTTACAAGAGAGTCCTTGAATAATTATCAGGACCTGACCTAACAAATGACAACTCATATTTGTTTCTTCAATTACAAAAGTGGATTTTTTTTTAAATGTGATTTATTTTTCACTTTCAAGACTGTGTAGTGTGCTGTACATGATGTAAATAAAATTCAATCCAAAAAATCATAGCGAAACAGCCATCTTTGATTCCACATTAACCCTAACATTTGAACATAAATATCATAAAACATTCATGCATGAGATCTTAAGCTGTTTGAGAAATCTCTTTAAAAAAAGTAAAGAACTGGAACTACTGTCTTCTACAAAGGCCACTTGATTTCACAGACAATATTTCTGTGAACTTATTTACACATAAATTATTTGCAAAAACATCTCATGACTTCATGGAAAACTACCATGAAGTGTAAACCAAAGTCCAGAGAAACAAACAAGCAGCAGATGTGAAAACAGCAGGAGGATTTTCAGTAATCCATCTTTATGGAGGTTGTTGCTTTATATGGTGCATTTATGACCGAGGCTTATCACTTAAGTGTTTTATATCAGATGATTAGGGGCTGTTTTTTGCAACCAGCTTTCCTGTCATTGTGCAAAACATACACTACAACTGGCCTGATCTACCAGATAAACTCAAACTGCTCATTTTATGCTATCAAAACCTGAGGATGAGACAAGCAAATAAAACAGATTTGCACTATATCTTGATTTTGAGACAAATTTTGGAGAAAAAAAATCACAAAACTATGAGGGACACACAGGACATAATACTACATTACATATATTTCAGCAGCTGAGGCTTTCTTGGGTGCTGGAAGTAACAGGGATTAGCTGGCAGTCTACATCTGGATGGCCAAGAAGTCGACTGGGGTCCTGGGGTTAGTGGCTTTTCCGGCCCAGCCTCAGATCCCCGAGACGCCGCTCCAGACTGCGCTTCCCTATCAAAAGGTGACATCAAAAGACAGAATGGTGATTTTGTTGTTGTTGTTGTTGTTGTTCTCTGATGCAGTGAACTGTAAAATTCATCCACCTGAACTTTTTCTGAATTCTGTAAAATCAAAATAAAGGTGGCAATAAACTGACTATCAGGTGATATCAAAATGTGTTGGGTTGGGCACACCTCCCACAGAGTTCGCATCCAAAGGGCCTTCATTTATGGGATCTGACAGCTTCATTTCAAAGTTAACTGTAGTGCAAGCACAGTCTGTATGCAGTTTTTTTTCCTCATGTGGCAGTCTATTGTTTTTGCATTTGTGCCTGTAATTTCTGGCTCAAAACAAACAGGCTTAATGAGGCGGTATAGATACAGGACAATTTGCCATAAGATAGTGCCTGTTTCCCCTGCTCAAGACCCTTTTATTACAATAGCGCATAAACAACACACATGGCTCTCCAAAATCACAAACCACCTTTCATGCACACATGTAGTCTGTAATGAGCAAAAGAATGGCTGAGGTTTATGTATAACGGTCAAAGTGTTTATTCGTCATATGCACAGTTAGGAAACGTGTTTCCCTGTACAATGAAATTCTTACTTTGCCGTCCTAATGAATGCCACAAAATACAAATGGAATATAAAGTAGATAAATAACTAACACAAAATCTAAGGCACTTTAAAACAGCAACTGAACAGATAAATAGAAATATATAAGAATATAATAAGAGAATGTAGCAGCATGTGCAGTAGTCATCAATGTGAAATTATGCATGTGCAAACTGAGAATGTAAACAGTACAGGTCTTCAGTATATGACATATTTCTTGGTAATAAACTCCTCAGCTGTTTAGGAGTCTGATGGCAAAGGGAAAGAAAGGGTTTTTCAGTCTGGAGGTCCTACACGTCACACTTCTGAACCTCCGGCCAGAGGGTAGGGAGGCGAACAGTCCGTGCTGAGGGTGGGTGGGATCTTTGAGGATGGAGGCAGCTTTCCTACGCACCCTGCG